ACCAGGTCTCGTCCCATTCGTCGATCTTTGTGATATCACAAATCCCGGAAAATGTGCGTTGTAGTCCAAACGAGTCGTTCGTTGTAGTTTTTGAAAAGTGATTTCTGTTAAATAAAATATCTCCTTTTGAAGTGGACTTTGAGCTTTGCAACTTTGCAGATCTTTTTTATGCTCAAACAGCAACATTACAGACTAACTAAAGTTGAAAAAGTGAAAAAGCATAATAGGACCCCTTTAATCTTTATTGTGTTAGGCCAGTGTAGACAGACAGGAAGCGAAGTGGTGGAAAGGGGAATGGGATTGGGAAAGGTTGAGTCGGGACTTGAACTTGGGTCGTCTGAAGCGCAACTGCGCTACATGTCAGAGTGGGGCCTCGCTGGTAATATATGTAGCAACTATATTTGTCAATAATATATTTTTATTTATATATGCAACTTTATTAAAACAACATACATACAAAAATGTTTGTTTTTTAAATAAATGTTTTAAATGCATTTATTACAAAACATATATAAACAGATTTTTGTACATATACTGTATGTTGTTTTAATAAAGTTGCATATATAAATAAAATATATATTATTGACATATATGGTTGCTACATAATACCAAATAAAAATCATCATATAGATATTAGCATATGATTTTACAGATAAACTTATACCTTCATCTACCCAGAGAATGTACTTATGTGAACATTATTTATGGCCTTATAGGAAACATATTTGGCAATATCAATCTTGATATAGGGCAAATATGTGTCATATATTACATTTCTGTATGGGTCACACACTTTTGGCTGCATCATTCCCCTGGAGGGATTTAGGATGTCATTAGATGTCGCTGTAGTTTTTCTGAGCCCATCTTAGTTGGAGGTCCACGGGACAGGTGATTTCCAAAATGCATGATAATTGAAGAATGTAGTTCCATTTTGATCATTATTTGTTGGGTGAGTCAGACAAATCCTGTCAAAGAACATATCCACTGTCCAGGTCATATTTCACACCAAAATCAAAAGGAAAAAATAAGAAATATATAGGCTCTTTGCATATTTTAAAATTATAATTAAGCATATTTTCCTAAATTCCCATTAGCTTAATGCAAAATAAACAAAAAATAATAATAAAGGAAAAAAAGATTCCATTTTAATTATTTTTTATTGGGTGAGTCAGAAAAATCCTGCCAAACAATATGTCCACTGGCGTTTCGTATTGCGCTGCGTAAACATAAAACCATGTCTGCATTTGTGATCGGAGAATTCAAATGACAAACAACAAGCGCTACTCTACACTGCTCAAACTCGAGTTTGAATCATCATTGGCAAATTCTTTAAATATAAAAAACGTACTTACAGTCTGTGAGTCAGAAGCGCCAGACTGTCCTTGCAAAGTTGGAACTGCCCCACTTTATAGAAACATTGTGTCCTCTTTTGGAAGGCCAAACAAAGTTATGCAAATCTTCCCACATCTTGACGTAGACATGTGGGGGCGTGTTTAAACGAGGCGTTTTAGGAGGGCGTGGACAAGTCTTAACTTTTATAAAGAATATCTCTTTGGATTTGAGACTTTAGTCTTTGCAACTTTACAGACCTTCTTTATGCACCAAGAGCTTGTAACACTCCAAAGAGAAAGGAAAAATTGAAATCGCATCATATGACCCCTTTAAGTCATATTTCACATCGAAATCAAAAGGGAAAAAAAATAGAGAATACTTTTTTATTCTATTTTTTTTATTGAATTTTTGCAGACATATAAAAAGGTCTTACATCTGTTACAAAATGAGATAAGGTGTCTGATCAGAGAATACTTTTTTTAAGAATTCAAGCATGTTTTAGGACCATATTTTTGGACAGTTAAGCATTTTCACCCTACTTTCCTAATTTCCCACTACTCGCTCTCTCTACATAGGTGGTTCATCGTTGGGTGCCTTGCAGTCGTGATCCGGTTAGTCGGTCTCACATTGATAAGACCATCCTGCTGGTCCAGGTGGATGATAAACTGGTTCCCATTATAGAGACGGGAGTGATTGAACTGGGGGCAGAAGTGTGAGGACACACTCATCTAATGTCAGGCCAGAGGAAGAATGAGGCCACGCTCACTTCCAGCTGCTGATCAGGGCGCAGGAAGCCAGGGAATCGTGCAAATGGAGAACATACACACTCACACACGCTGCAAGAAGCACACTTGCTCAAATCTGGACAGAAAGCTGCCTTGCTTTGTGTTCCTCAGATATGCTGCATGAGAGATCAGCTCCTGTAAACTCTTCTCTCTCTTTTTCTCTCCTTTACGAGCAGCTGCGGTCTCATTCTGTTTTTTTAGGTTCTATGCATCTCATCAGCTGTCTGTAAACACATGAAAACTCACAGGGAACACTACAAACGTGCTTGATGTACACGCAGAGAAGAGTTTTTTATTACAGCTATAATTAAGTTTTATTTTGTATTTCTGCCAAATTAAGTCAGGTGCACAGTGCTGCCCTGGACATGCAGTGAATCATGTGACAGACTGTTTTTTACTAGCTGCCAAGACAGACAGATGATCACGATGAGGATGATGATGATGATGATGATAAAACAGAAGCAGGTGCTTCTGATACAGAGCTCTCTTATGTTATTTGTATTCTTCATCCTTGTTTTGTTTTTTTTGAGGATTCATATGACAACAGAGAGGTGTTATGAGAAACTTTAACTTGCACTATGATTTGTTTTGTTTTTGATTTGCAGCTGTGCACTACTTTCTAAGATCACACCTTATTTATTCCTCTACGGTTTGAATCACCATGGTTACCGATGCCTTTGGAATGCAAAATGCGAAATCATCGACACATTCTTTTCTGCCATTTTGACAGTTATTTCTTTAGCTTGAGAACAGAAGTGGTTTTTAACCACATGTAGTTATGTATGAATATATTTATGTGTCTGTAAAAAGATTTGGCTTTAAATATTTATTATTGTATTTACATTTTGTTATATTGTTTTTCATTTACAGGACAAATAAAGACAATGCATAAATATTATTTAGTCCTGTTCCCAAGTGACTGATGCTATTCTTTTATGAGAAGGATGAATTGAAATGCATCTGGGGCATGAACTCATATTCATGTGAATGTGATTTGGTGATGAAGGTTGAAGCCCTTAAAAATAGCCATGAGATGACACAAACCAGAGTGGTTAACAAGGAAATGGCGCCATTTGCTGATCACTAATGTTTTTATACTTAAGTGCAGTGATTCATTGCTTTGGCTGTGATCACTGGCATAATCTGTATATCGTTACCATGTCTTTAAGGATAACGAAAAGCAATTAGTATATAAAGACGATATCTCAAAATATAAAAAATAAAGAGCTTTTTGGGAAAATGTTACATTTCACAGTGTGCTAAACCTGTTTAACTGGTGTCCTATTACACTTAAGTATTCTTATCGATTTGTGTTAAGAAACAGTGACAGAAGGAGTAATTTCATAATATAACAAACTAAACAAGTCTTCACTCCTGATGGTGGAGTATAGTTTTCTTTTTGATATTTATATTTGCTTTATCAGATATTGGTAACACATTATGTATAACTAAGAAGCATTATTATAAAATGCTTTTAAAATCATTAGTTAATGGACATTCAAATAGTTATGAATGTCTTGAAACTTTTGATAATTGTTTGTGACAAAAAGTGTGTTTGTGGGTGACAAACTTTGTTAGTGTTATGGAAGGATGACTTGATCTGAGACATGAATGAAGTGATTTGGTAGTGTTAGTGCATTTTGGTAAGTGTAGTTTGCTGCTGTGCCAAGCTGAATGGAGTGCAGTGTTTTGAAAAAGTGACTTAAGTATTGAGAAATGTGTCATAGTGATTTAAAAGAAGAAGAAAAACTAAGGAAAGTTATTATAAATTGTTCATGTTCCAATTATTAGTCGGGTTTTGTAAGTAATCCAGACATAGTTTTTCTTGAGCTAAATATGCTACATTATATGAAACTTTTCTCACGTTCTTTTTAAAATAGCTTAGACTATCATGGGGTCTCTGATAATAGATATCAGAGATCATATTTGAAGGTCTGTTAAAATATTGAGGGGACTTTTTGAGGAACAAGCTTGTTTGTGGCTGTCAACAGATGTGTACACCTGCAGAAGAATTTACAGCGAATTCTAGACACCCAGTGAAGGGACTTTTAATACTGGTGTAATAAATTATTGCTAAGATAAAAAGCACATTTGGTGTCAAAGGTTTCACAGTGATCTGTGAGTTCCAGAACAGAGGTTTTTGTCATCTAAGTTAAATCTAGAATTATGAACGATAATTTAGAGTTTTACAGGTGTAATTCATAATTAAACCATTGTCTCAATAAGTTTGCCTAAAGATTGAAAATCAGTATCGGTAGATTACTTTAGAAGCTGCAGAAAGGATTTACCAGTGAGAAATAGTACAGATCATTATAGCCTGATCTGAAACAACAGTGAGTATCAGGTCTATTTTATATCAGCATTGCATGTAAAATAGTCTGTTCCTGGTTGCTATTACGACACCTGTAAAAACAGCACAACAGGTGAGATCAACCCAGCTATAAAAATATGCGTTTTGTAGTGAAATAGCAGTCATATGACAAACGGATGACATGATCATGTGCTCGATTATTTTCTGCCCAGATAATAAAAAAAAGAAGGGCAGGTATCTATGCTGAGGCTTCTCAGTAAAATTATTAATAACGTTTTTTCTAACCAATTATTAAATCCCCTAAAACAGCTGAGGCATTTCCCCTGAACGTACATAACGACTTTCCTTGTCAAATAGCAGACCACTTCAACGCATTACTCTATTTCTACATTTTCGAAAAGCTTCCTCTATTCTTGTTTTGTTTTCAGTCAAACTCGCTGCACATGACCGACTGGTCACGCGGTCAGTTGAGGCTCCGCCCAGGAGTCAAATGTGATTGGATGCTGCACGAAGCCGTGTTGAGCTGATTGGATGGCGCGTGGAACCCGTTTGCGCTGATTGGCTGCTTCGCATGCGTCTTCGTAGCATAGTCTGTAATAAAGCGTCGAGTAGCTCCAGTACAGGCAGCTCGGGCAGCGCCTACAGAACAGGTAAGAGCATTGAAACTACGATTATTTTTTATTGAATAATTACTCTACTCGTTTTGTTTGGTTGTGGTTTATATAATTAATCAACTCCAGGGTAAATACCACATTCAGCTAACAGGAGTACAGTTTAAATCCCCCTATGGCCTGTGTTATTATTGTAGCCTGATGTCCTTGTTTATATGATGATTACGAGACCACTTACAAAAATATACCTTAGTAAACAGTCATTTTTAAAGTTACAGTAATTTATTTCCACAATTAGTATTTGCTACCATTATCATCTAAAATAAGACATTTAACCTAACCAAATGATAGAATCTTATTCTGTTTGAAGGAGATTTATGGTTTTATAGTAGTAACAATAACTGTATTAATTAACTATGGTTTATTTCTGTAAATATGAAATGTTCAGCATAGTGTGAAACTTTTGATAAATTAACTCAAAAGGTCACTCAATAGATCACAGATTCTAAAATTTCACACTTCATGCTTTATCTCTGCCTTACAGTAAACAGACTCTGTATAGAGTCTGATAAAGTCACACATGTCTATACACATGATAAAGTCAACACTGCTTAATTTGCATAACTATAAAGGCTTAGGGAAAATGAAAGTGAGTTGGATATTTACAATATACCTATATTATAATATACATGTATATTATATTATTAGCAAAATGAAAGTCATTAAGTTAAGTACTTTTTGTAGTATGACAAATAAAAATGCCTTTTAAAGGAAATTTACAATCTTTAAACTTATAATAGCAAGCATGATGTTTTTCTCCGATTATTTTTCATCTCTGTTCCAGGTAGATCACAGAGATGAGTCCCCAGATAGTAGCGGTTTTAGGTCTCGCCCTAAGCCTGGGGCTGGTAGTGAGTGGTTTTCCTGCCGAGCAGCCAGAAACCGGGAAGCACTGGGTCGTCATTGTGGCCGGATCGAATGGCTGGTACAATTACAGACACCAGGTGAGAGTGGACCTGGATCTTTGAGGTGGAAAAAGTACATGGGTTTTTCCAAACTGTTAGTCAGTTGTCATATCTGAAGTCTTTTTAGATTTTTATTGTGTTTTATTTGTGTGTGTGTGTGTGTATGTATAGGCCGATGTGTGCCATGCATATCAGATTGTCCATAGGTATGGAATTCCCGATGAGCAGATTGTGGTGATGATGTATGACGATCTTGCTCAGAGCCCAGAGTGAGTATGACTTGTATGATTTAAACAAATTGGTTGTAGTGTAATGTAGTGGTTCTCAACCTTTTTGACTCCAATGCCATCCTATGTCCAAAACAATATTCAAAGTCCCTCCTATCTAAGCTTATATGTACTCTGGTACTTTAGTTTTATGCACTTTAAATGCACTTTAATCTTGTACATCATTTTTAGTGTTTGTTTGTTTTTGTTTTTTAGTATGTTAATTAAGCGAGTTTAGATTTAGTATATTAACAATTTAAATAATTTTAAGACTTATTGGGGCCCCCATGTTTGAGAACCACTGGTATAGTGAGATCTGGACTGGTAACCCAAGAGATATTGGATTAAGCCTAGTAAGAGATTCATGACCTGCAGTGCCTTTGGTCAAATGCACAATAGTGATTGAAGAACACTTTACCCCACATAGCCTCAGATTGTAGAAAATGTGCTGTTAGCTGTTTCAGATTTTAAAAAAAATATTTGGGTAATTTCTCACCAACACAAAAATGAGCACTTCCCCTAAATCGTTTTGTTAAAGTGGTGACTTCCAAAGGCAGACATGAAAAATTATTTAAATCATGACATGTTAACAACCCGTCAGCCTGCGCCATCTAGAGTTTCATGACTGAACTATATATTTAGCTCCACCACATGCATTGGTGCACACACACACACAGGGTTGGGCAGTATTTCAGATACATGTATTTAAAATACGTATTTGAAATACAAAATTCTATTTTGTATTTTGTATTTGAAAGTGTTGGGGAAAGCAAATATATCCGTGCAGCTTTTAGTGGGCAGGAATTATTAATTAATTCATTCATTCAAAAGGAAGCCTGGATGAATGAGTAATAATAGAATGTGATGTGCTTGGTGCAATTGCACTTATTATAAGTGTATATGTGTATGTTCTTTATACTTCTATGGCTCTTAGGTATTTGGTATTTTATTTTAAAATACATTTTGATGTATCTTTGCCCAACCCTGCACACACGCACAGAAACAAAGCTTTGAGTCAGTTCCTTTACAGAAGTCACAAGTATCTAATTTAACCACCAGAAGATTTAAGTGTGCCAACAGGAAAAATGGATGAATTGTAACATGACAGAAAAACCTGACAGATGAATTGTAACATGACAGAAGAAGAAGAAAAAAAATATAAAAATAAATAAATAAATATATATATATATATATATATTCTCAGAATGGAAGAGGTCAAATTTTAATCTTTATATTTTTATTGGAAGCTTGACAGCTGTGACATTTATTGCTTTAGTGGCTTTTTTATGAATTCATATGTAGGTCAGGTGTTCCAGCTAAATTAAACTATGAAAGAAAGAGATGTGGTGATAGTTGGTTTAGTCACATGGTTTTGTGGTTAAATTTTAACCTATGTTTGATAAGAGGAGGAAAAAGAGGTCTTTCTTTATTATTGTTTGCGATATTTTTTTATAATTGTTATGCTTTTTATAATTAGTTAGCCAGTTTTGCTCCTTAAAAACCAAAAGCCTTTTTAGTGCAGAGGTTCATATGATTGTGTTTTTGTTTGTGTCCAGTAACCCTACTCCAGGAGTGATCATAAACAGACCCAATGGAACGGATGTTTACAAAGGAGTGCTGAAGGACTACACTGGTGATGTGAGTCAACGTGCACCTCTGAATCTGAGATTTGAGTTGGTAAATGGTGTGTTTGCTGTCCATTCATTAATATTGTGTGTGTTTGTGATATAGGACGTGACTCCTCAGAACTTCCTGGCGGTGTTGAAAGGTGATGCTGCTAGTGTAAAGGGAGGCTCTGGAAAAGTGCTGAAAAGGCAAGTTACCATAAAAACTGTGGCAGAGGGGGGCTAGAGGTCATTAGCATGTTTTTTTTTTTATTTCTTTGGGGGGTGGGGTTGGTGGTGTGTGTTTTGAAATGTAAATTAGCTTTTGATAGATTGTAGTGTCTTACTAAATTTTTTGCCCTGTGAAATCTCTGTCTCTTTTGTCTCTGTGCATGTTGAGGCAGATATGTGGGAAAACAGGTCTTGTGATATACTTTCCTTTCTCAGTGTATTTTTTTTTTTTTCGTTCTTTCTCCTGGCAGTGGTCCAAATGATCATGTGTTTGTGTACTTCACTGATCATGGAGCTCCGGGTCTGCTGGCCTTCCCTAATGATGATGTAAGCATTTTCTGCTTCCTGTGGTCATTTAGCTGAGTCAGATCCTTTCAGATCCTTTTTACACACAGTATACATTTGTAAATGCTGCTATTTGATATATTTATCTAATTTCATTACAAATTCTATAATCAACATAAGTAATTAGTTTATTTGAAAAAATGTTTTTTTACAAAAAACCCCAGATGGTCTCAATTTTTTGACCCCCCCCCCACACACACACACACTGAAGATGCTCAAGCAGTAGGTCAGCTGACATAGAAAGATTTCATATAATGAGTAACACATTTAACTCATGTGAGTTGCATTGAAAACTTGCTGCACTGACAACTTTTCCGGTAATAGTGCATGATCATTGGGTGGGAGAGTTATTGCTTCACTTCCTTATGCATGATGAGTTTATAAATTAATGGGAATGTTGTAAATGTCACATAGATGGCTTCATCTCTAGAAACGTACAGTAAATCATACCTCTTTTCTGTTTTTAGCTTCATGTAGATGACCTGATGGATACCATCAAGTACATGCACCAAAACAACAAATACAAGGAGGTGACTGTTACATGTGTTTGCTTATCAATATTAATAAGATACAATCTAGAATTTCTGTTTCCAAATTTCTTTTTTTTTTTTTTTCTTCAATAAATTCTTTCTCGCCCACATAGATGGTGTTGTATATTGAAGCTTGTGAATCTGGCTCCATGATGAAGCCTCTGCCAGTGGACATTAATGGTGAGTTTTTCTTTAACATCACACATGCTGCTGTGTGTAAATAACACTACGTAAAATCAGGCTGTGTTCTCTCTGTGTGTCTCAGTTTATGCTACCACCGCTGCCAACCCTCATGAGTCCTCATATGCCTGTTATTATGACGAGGCCAGAGACACCTACCTGGGAGACTGGTACAGTGTCAACTGGATGGAAGACTCCGACGTGGTTCGTACACATCTAACAGCAAACCTTGTTTAGATTCTATCTTCAAAGAGACAGAAGATAGAAAAGAGCATTCATTCAGCACGAGCAGTCTCAGTGTTGTGTGTTTGTTTCTTTAGGAGGATCTGAACAAAGAGACTTTGGCCAAACAGTTCAAGATCGTAAAGGCCAAAACCAACACCAGCCATGTAATGCAGTATGGAAACAAGGTAATACACTCACAAACATTAAGATGTGAAAGACATTTCATAAATATTAAACATTAAAACATCCATTAATAAAACACACACTGTCTTTACACTACCAAGCACCAAATGCAAGGTTGATTAGCATTAGTGATGCTGTGAAATAATTAATTACTGAATTGCTAAAGCAGTTAGTCACAGGAACTAATATATATATATATATATATATATATAAAATGGTAATAAAAGACATGATTAATTTAATCAATAAAATGCAAAATCATGTCTTTTTAAGTATTAATGGCTGTTAACTTTATAGTTTACTAATTCCAGCTGTTGCAAAATGTAATTTTGGAACCTGACTGGAAGAAAGTAAAAAAAAAAAAAAGAATAAATAATCAAATCTTATCAGTCTGGTCCCTAAATTGTAGCAACTGTGAGCAGCATCCTAAAAATTGTTTATTAACAATATGATGTGTATTGATCTGCTGTGAGGTTCTTCATGAGTTGAGGTTTAGCATCGGTCTCATTCTCGGCTAGTTCAGAAAGTTTCCACTTATAGTCATGTATAGTTCATTGACAAGGAAGTGTTTGATAAATGCAAAAATGCTGTTCTGAGTACTGTCTGCATGTCTGTACTTGCCAAATGTAACTCTCTTGGTTTGTTTGTGTTTTAGACGCTGTCCCACATGAAGGTGATTGTGTTCCAGGGTAATTCAAAAGGTCTTGATAAGGCACGTGAGCCTGTGTCGTTGCCTGTGATTACTGAACATGACCTCATGAGCAGCCCTGATGTGCCCCTTGCAATCATGAAGAGAAAACTCCAGAAGTCCAATGACGTTAATGCTGTTGTTGGTTACATGAAAGAAATCCATGAACATCTACAGGTTTGAAGCACTACTTTTTACAAATCGAGTTAAAAAAATAATTATTTATTTATTCATTTATTTTAAGTGTTAAAAGTTAATTCACACTATCGTTCAAAAGTATGGCGTCATTTAAGGTTTCTTTAATGAAATGAATACTTTTATTCAGCAAGGATGAATTAAATTGATCAACTGAGAGTAAAGACATTTATAATGTCACAAAAAATTTATTTAAAATATTTAAATTAGTATTTAAAATAAGTGATGTTCTTTTGAACTTTCTATTAAACAAAGAATCCTGGAAAAAAAAAAATCTAAATTTTTTTGTAATCATGAGAAATGTTTCTTGAGCACCAGATCAGCAATCAGAATGATTTCTGAAGCATCATGTGACACTGAAGACTGGAGTAATGACTGCTGTAAATTCTCCATTGGCATCGCAGAAATTAATTACTTTTAAAATATATTTAAATAATATTGCTGGTTTTACTGTATTTTTGATCAAATAAACGCAGCCTTGGTAAGCATAAAATACTTCTTTCAAAAACTGAAATCTTACTGACCCCAAACTTTTAAATGTTAGTGTTTGTAACATATACTGCAAGTGATGTACGTGATAGAGATTTCAGTCAAGATGACCATATTATAATGGATTGTGTGTGTGTGTGTGTGTGTGTGTGTGTGTGTGTGCGTGTGCGTGTGTAGGTGCGCGAGCTGCTTGGTAACACCATGCGTAAGATCGTGGCGCATGTGGTGCAGGAGAACGAGGAAGTGCAGGATTACCTGGATGGACGTGAAGAACTCACAGGGTATGAATGTTACAAAACTGCTGTCAAGCACTACAAGAAACACTGCTTCAACTGGCACCAGCAGGAGGTACAAACCTTGTTCTCTTTCATCTGCATGATTAGTTGTGTTGTGCTGTGTGTGTGTGACATTTTCTCTCTTGTTGCAGTATGAATATGCTCTGAGACACCTGTATGCTTTAGTAAACCTGTGTCAGGGAGGATACCAGGCCCCGAGGTAAAAACACATTTTTCTCTCTCTCCACTTCCATGTCTTTTCTCTAGATAATGATGTCTAAACTTTGTAAACATTGAACCATAAAAAGCTGTGAAGTATGATTCCATTATAAACAGCGCCCCCTGCCCATGATAGTGAGTTATGTTGTTTTATTGTAGAATGTGAATGGAAAAGCTCATCTTATCTGTTATTTAAATCTCATATCTGTCCATTCTCACAGAATCAAAGCAGCCATGGATGATGTGTGTTACTTCAGACAGTAGAAACATGAACTTGTGAGCCACTGAGGACTTGTGGATGGACTACACTTTGCACAAAAGAATCAGACTGTTGGGAAAATCTGTATCATCACACGCAAATTTGACTTAGATCTTTTTGAAAATGTTTCTTTTAATGAGGATTTGCACTTCTGAAATTTTAATGTGATGTTTTACTGATCTTTATTTTGTTTTAAAGAAAGAAATGTGCTTTAAGATGCCACCCAGTGACCCCTGACAAACACTTTGGGCCGTTAACATTTTTTCTGTGTGTGTGTGTGTGTATTGTTTTTTCCCCCCCTTCAGATGCCTCCTCAATGAGACCAACAGATATTTTGGCAGTACAGCTTTAGAATGACACAATTGCAATTTTTTGCACCTCAGTTACTGTCACAATAATTAAAAATATATTTTAACATGGTTTGGAAACCAAAGTATTTAAATGTCCAATCAGTGAATAAAGTCCAATCTTACAGGATGTTGAACAGATGCATTCAAACAATGTAAAACAAACACTAGCTAGACAGGTTTAACTACATGCTGCAATAAGATTTTGATTTTATGTATTTTTTATCTGCTTGTTGACGGAGCCATGACAATACCCAATTTCTCTCCTGTAGTAAAATCACAGACGCTTTTCTTTGGTTACTGACTAAATGTATACATATTAAACTAAAATGCAAACTAACCTAAATATCTGAAGTCTGTGGTCATACATAGCAAGAAGTGTCTTAAATAACTGAGATCACTGCTTGAAAACAGCTGTAGTTTGAGCAGTTAATGAGCGGGTGTGTTTAGTGTAATGGTTAATGTGTCAGGCTGTGCTATTATGTCAAGTGCCCTCCGTTTAGAATAATTTGAGGCCTCAAACCACTGAACTAAAGGAAGGTGTAATGTTTGAGGAGTGTTTGCTGGAGTTTGAGCTCTGTAAGAAAAGTGACTTTGCACTGACAACATGGGTTAAATACTTTGTGAAACAATACACTGAACTACTGTCAATGTTAAGCAGTGAGTTATTGATTATAAAAGCCATAATACACCTGAATTGAATGAATTTGTTGAATGTATTTTTTCATTTACTTTCAGTCCAAGTTATAGCTTAATTCTGTTGATAAATAAATAGATGTCACTAGATGGAAATTTTGATTGCATTGGTTTTTATGCCATATAGCAACCTATGAACTCATTTTAATTTCTATATTAGATTAAATTAAATAAAAATAAAATCTTATATAGCAACAAAACTAAGCTCATTAGTTGTAGGGAATATTGCAATACATATACAGTGAGTATAGAAAAGAATCACCCCCTTTACAATAATCAAATTTTGTTGCTTTGCGGCCCGAAATGAAGACGGACACAGTTTTTGTTTTATCCAGCTGTATTTTACTCAGTGCAACTTATAAAATCCAAGTGAAAGATAAAACACCAACATGTCAGGAAAAACCAAACAGAATGACATAGTTGGAAAAAGGATCACCCCCCTCCTAAAAATGGCTTGCAAACTCAATCAGTTGTAGCTAATCACCTTGGCACACAAAACCATTTGATTTTCAACTGTGATCAGCTGTGGTCATTTTGATTAGCACAGCATTTCAGTCCTTGGTAGTGCAACTGAAGCAAACAATCAACTATGGGTGGCAAGGCACTGTCAAAAGATCTCTGGGATAAAGTTGTGGACAGGCACAAAAAAAAAATTCAAAGGCTTGATCAATGCGTAGAAGCACAGTGAAGTCTATTATTAGGAAATGGAAGGTATTTGGTACAACACAGACCCTCCCTGGATCAGGACGTCGCTCCAAACTGGATGAAAGAGCCAGGAGAGTGAAAGTGACATGACATGTAGCCAAGTATGGTGTCCCATACTCAGAAATTTAATTTAATTTAATTAACCCATCCAAGTGTACATGTGTTATGCACACCCTGTATGATATCTGAAAACAAACCTACAAATTAGCCTGAAAGGCCGCACGTTTCTTACATAATATCTAGTTCTCATTGTTTGATTTTTCTGTGTTTTCTTCACCTGGTAACTATTACATAAGAATGATATACTGTATATGTAATTGTCATGTAACATTTTTACCTGTAACCTGTACATCTCATCTGACGAGAGAGAAAATGTGAAACCTAGTTCAGATGAAGGTGTGCTTGACAGATGCGAAGTGGCTGAGGTCTTGAGGTCCATTTAAGCAAATCTTGGACAAACAGGATAAGATGTTCTCAACAAGCAGGCAGTGCACTCAGGAAATCTATCTGATCTATCTGACATATTTATGCATTTTTATTTTCTTTGTCCAAATCTAGAATAATGGGTTTGAATGATAGCTTATATTTCATAGAGGAACAAATTGTAGCCTACCTAGCAACTTGCAAGTTTCCCACAATGCAACAGAAATATGAGAAATGCACGTAGGGGGTGGATCTGCCCATCCAAAACCAGAAAGTGATGATTCAAGAAGCAACAAGGTAAAATCAAAAAAAAAAAGCAAGTTTCACAAGCCAGGAAACTTGACTCACGGCGGTTTCCACAAGATCACAATGTTCATCATGGTGGGATTGTGTTTATACATGCAGCTCCATAATCATGGACGTGACTGTGGTGGGAATTACATGTTCTTTGATGTATGATGTTGTGCTACCAATGTCTGACTGCCTGATATTGATAAAACTACGATGAGATCTAGATCTAGACTAGATCTGTATTTACTTCATACTCAGACACTTAAAAACAGGAGATTGTAATTGAAAATTAGACCTGTGTAGACACTACATAAATAAATATAATAGGTATTTAATTATATATACAGTATATTGAATCTGTTAATGTATTTTAATGCTGATAAAGTTGTATATTTTTTATTATTTAATTAAAAAACGTTTCCAATAATTGTTTAATGATTTTAATTGAATTTACATTTTATTTAATTCATAAAACTGTGTCCTGGATGACTAAGCATCTCCATAGGAATACATCCTGTAAGTCATTAATAATGACATATAAATCATTCACGCCCTTTAATCAGTGTGTTACGTAATCACGTCTACGGGATGTGTGAGCGTCTGTTTATTGTGTGGCCGCGGGATGGCGCCACTGAGCGGTCGAGGACCTGACAGCGTTTGGAAACTCCCTTTTAATTCTCACCTGGAGCCTCTTGAAGATTAAGCAGAGTGGAGTATCTCATGCCAGATGAGAGCACAATCTGAGAGGACTGTTCAAGACTGGCTGCTTTCTAAGGAACAAGTTTCCTAAGAAAACCGGAATACCGTGGAAATGCCTCACCTGAACTTTCCAGACCAGATTAACATGGACCGTCCGATGTAAAGGATTTTACAGCACCGAACAAGGAAACTGAGGGATCCCGAAGTTACAGGTAACAGCCCTGCCCAGTCTTCCAACATGACATTAAAACTCGTGTAATTAGTATAATGCAAAGTCAGAACTAAAGTTAGAACTAAAGTGTCTAAAAACTATACTCTATGCTCTTAGTATTCATTAAAATGTGTGCTCCCTGATATTTTGGTTTCAATAGGTTTTACTTTCAGTAGTATGTGTGTGTGTCCTGGTCTCTCTTTCACTTCTTTGAAAGTTTTACTAACTCCATGTATTTCTAATTCTTAAAGTCAGCGACGTATTTCTTAGGATCTAATTAAAATATATGTATAAAAATATATACATAAATTCAGTTCACAAGACAATATACTTTCTGAATTAAATGTAATTCTAATATTTTTGTGGGACTTGTCTAAAACGACTGTTGTGTAACTTTTGGGAGATTGTAAAAAAAAAAAAAAAAAAAGGGAGGGAGGGAGGGGGTGGCATTCTTGAAAAATGTTGGCATAAGTAGTTTGGTATGATCTTATATAGGCCTATAATAATTTTTTTTTTTTTTCTAAGAAAATGATTAGTGATGCCAAATAAAATAGAATGCCAAATCAATGTCAGTGTGGTGCAATCAGTGCGCAGGAAGCCATTTTGTTGTCATGTGACAACCATAAACAGGAAATGAATTCACAGAGGGGACCACTGTAGACCCTCATGACTGTGTCAGTAAGGTGTTTTTGTTTGTTTGTTTGTTTTTGTTTTTTGACGCAAAGGTTAGCTAAGGTCAAATCAATTAACCCTATGAAAACGTACTAATATTATTTCTTGTTGGTTTTGATTTTACCTTGAAAACCTTTTAAAACAAAATCACGTTGTTTGTAATGTTCACGTTGTAAGGAAAATATTTTATTACTTTTAACTTGTGGGTTTCACCACATGACATTTTTTATTTTTATTTTTAAATAATTTTTACTGAAAATGCAATTGTTAAAGGGGTCATATGATGCGATTTCAGGCCAATCAGAGCACACCTCGCTTTTCAGAACAATGAGCTTTGTAAAAATTGACGCGTTTCAGAAAGGCGGGGCATAGAGGAGAAACAATAATGTACAGTATGTGGAAAATAATGTGTTTTTTGAACCTTAAACCGCATAAACACATTTCATTACACCAAATACACAAAATAATGTTCTTTTTAGCAACATCATATGACCCCTTTAAAACATTTTTCAAAAATAGGCTACATGAAACGAACATGAATTAAAATATTCAGTTCATACATATACTTGACACTTATTTGTTTTCAGCTTTAAAAAAATCCAATTTGTAATTGTTTTTTACATTTTTGTATCATCTCAGACATTCTTATCTGTCATTCACCTATAGAATTCTTATAAATCATTAAATTCTAGGGGGGAAAATCCGTAACAGTTCTGGGGATGCATATTTCTGCGGTTTGAGAGTTTCCTTTACACATGTGTATCTCAAAGATGCTTCACCTTGAGCAGGTTTGTACATTAACCTGAAACAGATAGGAGACCTGCAGGGGTTTGGAGGAGGTGGAGTGAGACAGAGGGAGTCCTGCTCTAATGGTCTTAGCTAGTATGTTGTTGATCATGGGTGACTTGAGGGAGAGTGAGAGAGAAAGAAAGGTGATTGTAGGCATTGTTGATTTTGGGTGTGTTGCTGTACCCATCAGGCTGCCATGCTGGGGCTTGTTTCTGTAGAGATTCCAGATCAGTTGCGCAAGTGTGTGCAGAAGCAGGAGGTGTGTGTGTGTGTGTGTTCTCCACTGCCCAACTGTAAGAAATAAAGTTACTGACTGAGCGTCCCTTTAGTTTTTTCATGGCTGATTTGCTTTTGCATGATCTGAATCCATTACTCACACTGTTTTGATGTGTATCAGATGCACATATCTGAACACGTGGTGAGGTCAGAGCCAGTTGTCATGAAGATGAGTTGTTTATGAAATGTGTGCCAGTTGTACTCTGAGGGTAAAACCTAAACGTCATTGTGTCAAGAATATTTATGTTAGTTTGGCAGGCCCATTAAAGACCCCATAATATCAAAATTGGAGTCTTGTGATTTTTAGTCCATGTTTGTTGTCTTTTGGACCATCAGTATGGTAGTGTATCCTTAAAAGTTGACAAAATTAACTTTTAGCAGATAAATGCATTAAAATGTGCTTTTCTCTTCTGCTCATCCTGCACTACACAGATTTTTGATCAGTCAAATACTTTCTACAATGTCAAAGTCCCTCCCCACATCGACTAGGAAGTAGCAAATTGTGGTTTTTGAATGTAACTTAAATTTGGCAAGAAATGAAAATTCACCTCTGTTTTTATTTTATCTATTTTTGTGAATGAATGTTATAAATGTTATTGTGAACAATTCATCCATGCATATGTGTAATTTAAAAAAAGAAAAAAATTTTTACCATGTAATTTTTAATCATAATGTCATAACTTCACCTTCTGGTGAAAATACTCTGATGTATGCAGGACTTCTCCAATCATTTAGTCTGCCTAAACTTCACCCACATCTCAAAATCCAATCAACAACCAGTACATAGATCCAAATCCCTGCCCTCCTTCTTTTTTTATTTTTCGGCAATCTGTTGCTCTTGGAAATGTCACAATATGGAAGAAAATATTTGAAAATAATTTCAATATGACTTTAACTAAAGCCTATATTGGCTCTTTATTATTATTATTTTTAAAAGGGAAGTGCCCTTCGAAATGTCTCACTCAAGTCCTGTTTCAGTAGGAAATATGCCACCACAGGACAGAAAAGTGCTTTAAGCAAAT